ACCGGTTATTCACTGTAACTTTGTTCAACTGGCGATAATCAATGCACATACGCATAGAACCATCTTTCTTCTTCACAAACAAGACAAGAGCACCCCAAGGTGATACACTGGGCCGAATGAAACCCTTATCAAGAAATTCTTGTAATTTCTCCTGCAGCTCATTTAACTTAGGAGGAGCCATACGGTAAGGAGGAATAGAAATAGGCTGAGTGCCTGGCAATAGATCAATACAAAGATTAATATCTCTATCGGGCGGCATGCCCGGAAGATCAGCCGAAAACACATCAGAGAAATCACGTACTACTAGAACTGAATCAACAGTAAGGGTATCAATACTGACATCTCTCACATAAGCTAGATACGTGTCACACCCCTTCTCAACCATTTGCTGAGCTCTAAGAAATGAAATAACTCTACTAGTAGTGTGATCTAAGGTACCCCTCCACTCTAATCGCGGTAAACCTAGCATAGCCAGCGTCACGGTTTTGGCGTGACAATTTGGAATAGCATAATTGGGCGACAACCAGTACATGCCCAAGATAACGTCAAAATCTACCATGCTGAGCAATAATAAATCGGCTCTGGTCTTAAAACCACTAAGAGAAATCAAACACGAACAATAAATGCGGCCCACAAGAACAGAATCTCCCACAGGAGTAGAAACATAAATAAGGGAACTCGAAGAATCCCGAGACACGCCCAAATGCAGGGCAAAATATGAGGACACATAAGAATAAGTGGAGCCTGGATCGAATAGAACCGATGCATCTCTATGACAGACCGGAACAATACCTGTGATGACAGAATCAGAGGCAATAGCCTCAGTACGGGCAAGAAGAGCATAATATCTGGCTTGGCCTCCCCTTCTAGGGTGACCTCTACCTCCCCGACCTCCAACTCTAGCTGGCTGGGCAGGTGGGGTAGCAACTGGTGCTGTAGTCATAGCTTGGGAACTCTGCGGAGCACGCTGTGGCTGATTAGTCTATGGAGGTGCATCCCTCCTAAGTCTAGGGCAATACCTCACCACATGGCGCGTGTTGCCACACTCAAAACGAGGATGTGGCTGGCTCGGGCCAGGTCTGCTGGACTGACCACTGAAAGCACCCCATGCAGGAGGCACACTAGATACCGGAGGTGCATAATAAGGCTCCTGAGGTCTAGAAGGAGCTGGAATACCACTGGCTGCTGGAAGAGCTGAATGAATGGGGCGGATCACATAACCCCTAGCATGACGAACTGCAACTGGGGCACGAGCACTACAATAAGTGCATGACTCTCGAGACCTGCTGTCCTCTCTCTCCTCTCTATCCCGAGCATGCATGCCCTCTACTCTCCTAGCAATGCTCACCACCTACTGAAAAGAAATATCCATCTCTAACTCTTGAGCCATGCTAGATCTGACTCTGGGAATAAGCCCCTCAATAAACTAGCAAACTCTCTCGCGAACCGTAGAAACCAAGGCTAGTGAATGCCTAGCCAAGTCACTGAAACGAACAACATACTCTGAAACAGTCATAGAACCCTGGCGTAAATGCTTAAACCACTACAAGAAATTTGATTTTTAACGACCATTTCTTAACGAAGGGACATAATCCGGTCGTTATAAGTGTATTTATAACAACCAAATTTTTTTCCAGTCGTTAAAACTAATTTTTAGCTCAATATTAACGAGGGGATAATGTCGACTATCTCTAAAAAGTTCCTAAAATGGCGACAATCTCTAAACAGTTCGTATAAACCTAAAAAGACTGAAACATCGACTTCTCTAACAGTTCCATCATAAATCTCAGTTTTGAACGAATTAGCAGAGAATTGCTACGACGAATTCAAATAATTAGAGAAACTGTTCTACTCCTAAAATTCAGCAATTAGCGAACGAAGCTGCTCGTCACCTCCATTGACAACAACTGCTCATCTTCAAGTTTCTTCTCATCAAGGTAAGGTTCAAAATTTTACCCTTTTCTATGTGAATTGAGTGATAATTTTGCTAGAAAAGGCATCTGAACTGGAGCAGGGATGAGAGAGGCCAGAGCATAGATTGTGATTTGACTCCCCATCGAGCGTTATATGTTTTAACGAGCAACTACTATATCTCCTGCCACGATTAAATCATCTTCTCTAACAGTTTATTCTAAATGTCAATTTCGTGCTATCAGTTTAACTGTGTGCCAAATATAGATGTCGAAATATCGGTCCTCCTAAAATTAAAGTTGATAATTTTTAGCGGTTGCGATCACACTTGTATTGTATATGGATGTTGGTGTCCTTTTTGGTGAAAGAATGACAGAAAATACAAAATTATTTCTATCTATATATTGATTGGACAATAAGGCGAATCAATATGTTAAACCAAAATGGACGGGAAAAGGGGAGAAATGTTGTGTTTCAACTAGAAGTAATCTAGAGAAGAGGATGGATGCATTGTCCTCTTTTGGTCCTTTCCTCCATTATAGCTTATCTAATTATACAACAGCCTTAAGGAATCCTCATAAGCTTATTATATAACAACTATGATGGAAATGACACTAGTAGAAAACTTTGTGATGAGTGACCAGAGAAGCATCGATGCACTGATTTTAGCTACTATGCATTGTACCAAAATGTCATACTAATTCGGGATTGATTTAGAAGGGGTGAGGAGGTATATGAGAAGACAAAAGGAGAAAAGATTGGGAGAATGCATAAAGTTGAATGTCGTATGATGGATTCTTTTATAGGCATACTTTACAATATGTATATTACATTTATCCGATGCGAGATACTAGTATGTGCACTGTTACTTCTGTACGGATTTAACTTGGTCTAAGTCTAGCAATCTTCCCTCTCAAGGGGTGTGTGTATATATGTCGTATGTACCAAAGTTTGTTTCAACCTACATATATAGTTCATGGATTAGCAAGGAACTTAGTATGTAAGCAAGTTAGTCCTCTGACTTTGCTGACTTGGTGGTTGTGTCTCTATGATAAAACGACCGTCATTTCTATATGCTTGGTTCTCTTGAAAAACACTGGATTAGATGCAATACGAATTGCAGTTTGATTATTGTACATAATTGTCTGATTAATCTGCACAAACTTCAATTCTCGGAATAGGCATTCCATCCATATGAGTTCATCAGGTTAATTGTACTGGCCCTATATTTGCTTTGACTTGCAACCACATATTGTATCATGCTTTTTCTGGATGGATGGGATAGGGAGTAAATATGCAAAGCTAGTATTTGATCAACCTTCATCACCATCTTCAAGTGATCAATAGATTGAATCACTTAACAGGTTAGTAGATTGAAAATCCTATTTTACTTTGTGATGTATGAGATCGATTTACCACTGTCCAATCTCGTCCTTTGAGTTGTTGCATAGCTGGAGAAACTGATTCTATGGTGTCTGCTCCCTGCTTCTCACACTTATCATCTCTAAACCCATCAGTAACATCTATGTATCGAGCTACTGGTATAGGAGTTTGTCCAGATTTGCCTTGAATGTGAAGCACCTGCACAGATGTTTTATCCACATAAATCTGGCCCTGTTCAAAATTTGATTGCTGCACGGTTTCATTAAGTTTTTCCTTACCCCAGTTGCTTCATTACCTCAACAAACTTGAGTACATCCTCGATCTGAAACACGATCAACAGTAGGAACTTTAGAAATCTGCTTTTCCCTCTCGCAAACCTGAGACACCCTATTCACAGTTGTAGCTTTAGAACCTGCTGGATTTTCAAACAATTCAGCAGGTACAGCAACTGGTTGATCATGTACATGCACCAACTGTTGATATGGGCAACAGAGGGCCATCACCAATGGTTCCTTCACTAATTGTTGGGTTTCATAGTCTGCTCATTTTTTGTCCAACAATTTCTAGCATAGGTGGAGGTGCCACCATTGTTCTTCTAACATTGTTATTTCCCATCTCCTTGACACTTGTTGTATACTTGCTGTCAATATTCATTCCTATACAAAGTATATCATCTGCTACCTATTGGGAAAGTATGGTTTTGTTGTATATGATGGAGAAGGTTTGTTTGGGGTAGGGACCGTGCTCCTAGTTATCCTCTTCTTCTTTTTGTACAATCTGATGGGATAAGTTCTGTTTTGCTTTAATTTTTTATAATTAGTAAGATGATAAAATTATCACTTTTGTTAGAGATGGAATAAACAGAGCGTATAGCAGATTCTTTAGACAAACAGAGAAAAATGTACAGTCGGGACACTTCCTTAATGTTTTAGAATCTCAGTAGGAAATTCCAAAACCTTTTGTACCATCTGTTGCCTTAGGATCCTTCAAAGCAACGATAGTTTCAAGAGATGATTGAGCTCGATTCCCGTTAGGAGTTGGAGCATCAAGTACCTGCTCAGCTCTTTTCTCCTTCCGATCTGTTGAGAGTTGCATCTTAGATTGTTCAAGTTCCTTAGTGATCAACTGTCCAGCTGCATTAGCGTATTGCTCAGTATCTATTATTATAGCAGTCCTTTCGATCAACCATAGGTGCTTTTGCATTCTTCAAAACCTGAGAACCCCTTAGAGCTGGGGCACGGACTTCACCTGCTAAATATTTGGGGGCTAGGGCAAGGACTTCACCTGCTAAATCTTAGAGCAACCCTTGCAATGGATTTGAAGATTTCCTCATCGGCGAAGAAAGAGGTGAATCTCACAGCCGCGTAAAGTTGCAATTTTATTGATTATACAGTAAATGCTCACTTGTTTAATACTTGACCTCATTTAAATTAGTTTTTATGTACGCACCTTTGCAGGAGTTAAGTACAATTAGCTGGTTAAACGATTTATAAATATGTTGTTCATATTTCTGAGCTGGTTTTACATTTTTTATGTAGAACTAGACAGTAATTAGGCTTTCCAATAGTGCAAATTCAAAATTTATGTACAATAGATAATTACTACCAATTAGCTTCCGGAGGAACGATCGATGAAATGTAATTTCTCATGTTTAATTGTTATAAAAGGTTCTAGTCGAAATTGTCAAGTTAGCTCAAAAGTGACAGATGAAAGGAAGTAGCGGAGGGTGGAAAGATTTTTTGAGATCATATGACAAGAAGTTAGGGGTTAGCTTGAGTGACCCGTCCAAGAGGTCCGTTGATGATCTGCTTGCGTTTTTGAAGACGTTTAGTCAAAGAGTATGTCATAAAGGTGGTTAATATCGATTACCTCTTGTTTTCATTTGGTTAATTAGCGTAAAATAATGCTGCTACTACTAATGCCATAATGTCCCTTTTGTGCAGCTTTTCAAAAAGGTGTTTCAATGTTATTCCAATCGAGATGCTGTAGAGAAGCTTCAGAAAAAGTCGCCGGATAGTGAATCCGCGGAACAGGTGAAGAGTATATTTTGGCTTTCTGGTATTATTACGAATCATAACTGCGACATTAGGGTGGTTTTGTTGTAAGATAGTTGGGAAAAATCTACTTAAGTGGGTTGAGAGTAGCTAATTCATCTCCAGTCGCTGCTAATAGGTCTTATAACTTGTTCTATTAGAATTTAACTGCGGCTATAACTTGTTCTGTTAGAATTTGACTACGGCTATAACTTGTAGATATATAGTTGATATTTGAGAGTGACAACCTGGAGATCCGTGGTTTGAATACCAGCTACAACACATGCTATGATGAGTGATTTTCTCTAACCTTTGTGGGCGGAGTTACCATTGACAACATGTGCTTGTTGGCAAGACATGCTGCTCGGTGGAGTATAGTCAAGTTGCTCGCAAGCTAGCAGGGCATGGTGATAGAAAAAATAAAAAATAAAAATAAAAATTGGAATTAGTATTCAGAATTATTGATAGCAAAATAGTTGCATGCTCTCCAATTTTGATACCCCCCCATCACACACACACACTTTTTTTTTCCAACAAGTTCTGTGCTTAAAATATTGATATTGTGGCAGTGTAGGGACTGGTTCGTTTAACTTTTGAGCACCCTCAATATCCGACAGATTACTCATTTCCATCACACGAGGAGGTTAGACTCAATGAATTTGTGAATCCAAAAAAACCAATTGCAGATTACAGAACTGAGATTGCTGGAATAACCGCTGGAGATTTAGATGGAGTTTCTTGTTCATTGGCCGATGTACAGATGTCCATGAAGAAGCTATTATCACATGGAACCATATTGATTGGCCTAAGTTTACACAATGACCTTCGNTTTTCCTCAGTTATGTTCATTTCGCTTCGTTTTTCTTTTTTTGATAATGCTCTGTTATGTTGTTCTTAATAGTTTTGAAGATAGATCATGCAAGAGTGATTGACACATCTTATATCTTCAAATATCGGGATCAGCCTTCTAATAGAAGACCATCTTTAAGTAATTTGTGTAAGGTAAGCTGTGCTTTTTTAATCTTAGTATTTCTTTCCCATGCTACGATATGTCCACTCTGTTGCATTGTTGGCCATATCAACCCTTACTTTGGATTCCTATTTTATTTGGGAATTTATAAGTGCAGACATTTTTTCAAATGCTTTTATCTGAACATTCCAAATAACTCTATTCGTTTTGTGTTTAGTAAAATAGTTGTGCTGCTTTTTTTTAGCAGTCTTTGTGGTTTGTCTCCCCGTTCTTCTTTTTCCAACTGTGGTTCCTTTTATAAACTGAAGATTAACAAGTATTTAACTATTTATCACAAGCTCTGCTTGGTGAATGCTATTGTTTACTTACAATAGTTTCCAAATAGTCTGTGTTAGGTTTTGAACTTCGAAAGAAGGACTCTCCACATAATTGTCTGGATGATGCATGTACTGCGATGAAACTTGTTCTTGCCAAGATTGAACGTGGAGTTGATTGTATCATACCGTTAGTTCGTGAGGAGGTAATATCATAAAGCCTTTTATTTTAAATTTCATTTTCTTTCTTGTGTCCTGATTGTAAGATGGTCATTACTCCTTTGAATTTAGGTGCAAGAGCCCAAGGTGGCAAAGCTACTTGTCCACAGAATACCAGTGGCTGTTCATAGCGAAGAGTTACACAAGTTATCCTGGAGACTTACCATAGAAGTTAAGGTTAGGAGAATCTCGTGCGTTTTTTCACTTCTCATGTCATATAAATATAAATCACATCTTATGCTGATTAGTTTATAAAAGCATATGTCGACGTTCAGTCGTTGAAGAATCACATTGTTGCTTGTTTGCGTTTTTTTAACGGTCTATGCTCCAGTCATTCCTCATGTTACATGGATCCTTCAATTGCCATAATGTACTCGTGTCAAACTGGTGTGACATTGGGCATATATGCTTTGCTAATTCTTTAAAAAATAGTAATATTTGCCAGAAGCTACACGTGCCATGCCAATCGAGGGTCTATCGAAAACAGCCTCTCTACCCCATCGGGTATAGGTATTTGCGTACACACTACCGTCCCCAGACCCACTTGTGGATTATACTGGGTTGTTGTAAAACCTGAGAACCCTTAACTATAGTAGCGTCAACGGGACCTGTAGCAGCATTGGAACCAGCTGTTATAGGCAGTAGCTTACAAACATTAGATCCTTTAGCTACAACATCTGATTCTTGCCCCTCATTAGCCACAATAGAAGCTTTAAAACCTGTTGACTTATCAGATGGTTCACCAGCTGCATCTCTGCGACTGCCACCTCTCCATTACCATCCAGCTTGGGATTAGTTTGTAACGCTGAGTTCACAGCCTTGTAAAGTCTCGCCAAGGCTGTAGTAGCACGAACATCACCTGTAGGTTTAGATTGACCCTTCACCCCCTTTGAAACATCACCTACAGGATTAATTGGACCACTATTAGCTAGTTCTTTTTCAGTTTTTGTGACCTGCTGCTGCCCAGATGCATTCTTAGCAACAGCTGCTGTATTTCGCATCTTATTAGCATCAAATCCTTGATGAACTACAATGGACTTGTTCCCGTTATTATTAGCAGCATCCAAACATGTTCCCTCAACCACCTGCTGCCGTTATTTATCATCTAACAGTTGCCTCAGATCACCTTGAAACTTCTCTACCAAAATTTGATCTTCACAATCCTCGTCTGCCCCATTGCTTACACTGTCTAAAGTCCTTGACAAAATCAAATGACATGTATTTTCACCATGCCCTTGATGCCTACAACAAGTACAATATAATGGCAGTTGTCATCACAAGGACATTGGATCACATTCAGTGATATTTTTGCCAAAAAAAAAAATATTTATCCTTAATATAAATACTTAAGGAGACTCCTTACCAAAAAATAAGTATTTTTGCAGACTAAGGATCGTTGGATCACATTCAGTGATATTCCTATGTTGATAACATATCCTTGATATAATGTAAGGCCTTTAATTGTTCTGTTTTATCCAAGTTAAACTCTAATCCCGTTGAATTGAATTCTTGAAATAAATATATCATTACGTAGTACTTGTATTTGTTTGTGAGTGAAGTTTTAGATTTTGATTCCAACAAGGAAATGGGATTGAAGTCTAAGAGCCGTTATTTCTTTAAACCCCAACTTGTTATCTCGATCATCGAATTGAAGTCTTGCATTGTTAATCATCCTTTCCCTTTCTTCTTTTTCTGGAAATTTTCAGCTTTAGACTAATTTTCAGAAGTTGAGCAATATGCCTATAGGATCAACATAGAAAAAGATTTTGTAGTCATCGAATAGGCCTGTTCATCAATTTCAACATGTACTTTTTCACTTCAAATTTTTCATCTTTATATTATACTTTAATATGATCTTCTTTAGTTGTTTATTCTTTGTTACCAAACTAACATAAATTTGTTATTTTAACAGATTAAAAATTTGAAGTCCAAAGAACCTATCCTTGAAGAAGTGTAGAGCAAGTTGAAGTATAAGAGGTTTTTGCTTTGTGAGGGATGATTAAAGACATTGTCTTATGTAAATATACATGTTGCAATTTTACTTTTTTCTCTTTTTAGGAATTGTTAAAAATGATGTCATACAATTTGGATTGGTTTCTGGTAAATATGATACTTTAGTTCATTATACTAACATGATATCAAGTATTTGGTTTATTTTCTAATGTTGTTGAGCGTGTATGAAAGCATCTAAAGAATTATTACTATTCATGTAATTTAAATTTTAGTAATTATATTTATTACATATTCATATTAGCTAAGAAAAATGTGGTCATTAAAACTCTTTATCAACATGTTTCTCAAACAGATAAATGACCATTAGCGAAGGGAAATTCGGCTGTTAAAAACAATTATACAATCAACGAAGGAAATATCGGTCGCAAAAATTACTTGAATTGACTTAATTAGTTGTTGTGATTAGAGTTTTTTAACGACCGGATAACATTTTAACGAGGGGAAAATTCGGTCGCTAAAAAGCATGTATAACGACCGACAATTATGTTGTCGCTAAAGAACCTTTAACGACCGGATTGTAAAACCGGTCGTTAACTTTTAACGTCGGAGCTTTTAACGACCGGTGACGACCGGATTTTTTCCCGTCGTTATCAACTTATAACGACCGAAATTGGACTTTGAACGACCAAATTTCCCCTCGCTAAAGGCCTATTTTCTTGTAGTGAACTCCGCACTCCATGCATCCTTGAGGCTCTAAGGGACATACTCTCTCAAGAACTGTCACGACCCGGATTTCCCACCATCGGGAGTCATGATAGCGCCTACTATTGGATCTAGGCAAGCCACACATTTAATCATTTCTGGATAACAACATAACAATAATAAAATAACGAGTCTTTAAAACATAAATAACTGAAAACCCAAAATGCGGAAGTCTAATATTTCACTACCCAAGACTGGAGTCGCTATCTCACAAACTACTAAAGAGTGCTACAAACAAGTCTGAATAGAAAATGCCTAAATGTCTGTCTCGGTACAATGAAGACAAAACTGAAAACATAGAAAGGGACTCCGGCCTGCGAACGCCAGCTAGGCTACCTCGTAATTCTCTGGACTGAAGTCAGCTCCCGATCGATATCCTACTGCTGTGGTCCAAAAGCTGCTCCAGTACTGTGATCTGTGCAAAAGAGCACAGAAGTGTAGCATCAGCACAACCGACCCCATGTGCTGGTAAGTGCCTGGCCTAACCCCGGCGAAGTAGTGACGAGGCTAGACAAGACTACCAAACCAACCTGTGCAGTTCAATATATATATATATATATATGCAATAAAAGGAAATGGTACAAAAATTAAACAGTTAAGAGGGAGGGAAGCATACTATGGGGGAGTATAGTCCGGATATAAAGTCAACAATTTAAGTAAGAAACAGGGCAATAACAATAACTAATGAGAGCAGAAAAATAATCAATAGTTGCACGGCATCAACCTTCGTGCTTTTATGCTCATTCTCACCAAAATCAATCAAATAAAGTGCACGACATCACCCTTCGTGCTTTCCCTCACATAACTCTCATATCATGGCACGGAATGATCCTTCGTGCAATTATAATCAAATCATAGCACGGAATGTCCCTTCGTGCATAAATAATCAAAACCTGGCACGGAATTACCCTTCGTGCAAATATAATCAAAGCATGGCACGGAATGACCCTTCGTGCAAATATAATCAAAATATGGCACGGAATGACCCTTCGTGCCTTATCACTCCTCCTCACCCAAACAGTACACACAACCAAACGAGGCGAGGGGATAAACAATTAATAAGAAATGTCCTGACAAGAAAATTACACGATTAACAACTAAATCCCGGCAAGGGAGCAACAACAATACTTTCACCTCCCGGCAAGGGAGATAATCAATATACTCAAACCATCCCGGCAAGGGGTTAATCACATCTCTTTCTATTTCTTTCATTTCTTACTCAATAGTCTTATTATCATTCAAGCCAATGCTCCAAAGAATTTACAATTCGTAATTAGTCCCCATACTCTTCACATTTGCATAGAATACATCAATTAACATGGAAGAGTCATAACAATATCAGGATAAGTGCATACAAGGACCCACGGTCATGCTAGACACCGGTGTATAGATACTCGTCACCATGCCTATATACCGTACTCGATCATTTAGCAATTAGCAAATAATAACACTCTAATCCTATTCCTTCAAGCCAAAGTTAGATCAAACACTTACCTCTAATGCTCCAAACTCGACTCAAGCCTCTGGTATCGCTTTACCCTTCGAATTCACCGCCAAACCGCTCGAATCTAGTCATAAATTACTTGAATGTATCAACAAAGGCTAATCTAATAAACTTGAATACATGAAAAGTGAATTTCCCAAGTTTGTTCAAAAATTCCCAAAATGCCCCCGGGCCCACGTGGTCAAAACCCGAGGTTCGAACCAAAACCCGACTACCCATTCCCCCATGAACTCAAATATATAAGTTATTTTGGAATCGGACCTCAAATTGAGGTCCAAAACCCCCAAATTTAGTAACCCTAGTTCTACCCTAAATTCCCAAATTCCCCCATTAAAATCTTTGTTTTGAAGTTGAAATTATGTTTAAAGATGTTAAGGAGTAAAGAAAATAAGTTAGAAATCACTTACCAATCGTTTTGAAGAAGTAGAATCATTTGGAAAATCGCCTCTTATGTTTTGGGTTTTGAAAAAGTGAAAAATGACTGAAAATCCCGACTACTGGAGACCCGGCGCGGACCGCACAAAAATGCCCCGTGGCTGCGCCGAGGAAGGGAGGGAAACGACTCTTTGAACCTACCCTGCGCGGATCACACTGATTTGGTGCGCGGCCGCGCTGGTCATCTTACCCCTTGGCCCTCTGAACCTAGCCACGCGGACCGCGCAGAAATGCACCGCGGCCGCGCGGCTTCAAGCGCGGATCGCGCGGAAATGACCGCGGCCGCGCTGGGGGCCTGCAACACCTGGACCTGTAAATTTCTGATACTTTTAAGTCTAAGACCCTCCTGGGACCCACTCAAAACTCACTCGAGCCCTCGGGGCTCCAAACCAAATATACACATAACTCCAAAAACATCCTACGGACTCATCCGTGCGATTAAATCACAAAAACAACATCGAATTAGGCCTCAAGACCCATGATTTCCTTCCAATTTCCATGAAACATCAAATTTACTGCTTCTAGCTCAAAACACGTCAAATGACGTCCAAATCTAACCAAACTTCACAGCAATAGCTTAAGTCATATTTAAGACTTGTGCCGGGCGTCGGAACCAAAATACGAGCCCAACAGCACATTTTTCTAAACAAATAACACTTTCCAATTTTTTAATTATTTTCAGAAAACAATTTCACGTAAAAATTCATTCCTCGGACTCGGGACCTCGGAATTTGATTCCGGGCACACCCCCAAGTCTCATACTTTCCTACG